TGTTCCAGACTCGCCCGACCCTTTGTGCCTCCTGTTTGCAGTTGTAAATGCGCTTCCCCTTAATTTCCGATGATGTCCTCCGGTTCTCGTCTCACTGTGGATTCTGTTGAGGCCCGGTGGGTGGATTGTCGCCAGTGCCCTTTGAGGGTTTTCAGCGCTCGGTTTATGTTTTCTCTGCTGTGAGACAAAACATCTTTATTTCTTATTTCGGAACGAGTAAAGGCTCTGAAGAAAGGCTCCACAGCCGAAACGTTGCGTTTCTTTTCTTCTCTTTCCAGCAGGGAAAAAACCTTTACTTGTTCCTTTGCAACCCATGCATGCTGACACAGCCACCCACTTGAAACTATTACTGATTTCTTTTAGCCTGTCAAAAGAGTAGGATGTTCCTCTTACCTGGTGAGGTTGCAGTGCCAATATTCTCACAGAAGGTGGTGCTACAGGACTGCTCTGTGTGGAGCAACACTAAGTTATACCTTGAGGTGCCATGATGCTGTATAGGTTTATCTAGGTTGGTATGACTTCCCCTAGTTTATTGCTAGTGCATTCTGCCTTGCTGTAGTGTTTACTAAGGATGCTTCTGTCACTCTGCGGTGGCAGGCCGTTATTTTCCCCTGGGTTTCAGGAATCGCTAACGCTGAGCTAGTCTTGCTGTGCCTGTGACCTGTAGGAAGGTTACGCCCCTTTGTCGACCAATCAGTCTATGATGGATGTTTTCACCTAGCCAATCCCATCCCCACTTACAGGGCTGGGTGAAGCTCCCGACCAATCCTGACTCAGAAACGTCATGCTCCTCCCACCGGCGGCCGTGGAAAACGCCAGTTTTCAGATCAGTGTTCGTTAGCAACTGTTAGTGTTGTAATCCATTCAACATCTGCCCGTTCACATGTGAAGCATTAACTTGATCTTTAAAAATGCATCCTAGGTGTTCAGTATTGCTATGGTTTGTGTGTGAAGTGGACAGAAGCATGGCACTTCCAAATCATCTGTTCAAACTGACTTCTCAAGTGAACACTTACTGAATACAGCTTTTATGGGAGAGAGGGGTCTCCTAACAAGAATGATCCAATAGCTTAGAGAACATTAAATTATATTTTAAGTCAAACGCATCTGAATTGAAGAATACAGGGCCTGCCCTGGGCATAGGTAAACCCATCCACCAGGGGGCCTCCCCTCAATGTGCAACTCAGCATATTTTTAATCTGCGTGTTCAAACGTGAGCCGAAAAATTCACTGCAGTGGCTCTTGCTGTTGCTGCTCTGGATTACCTTAATGGGAGCCCAGTCAAAAAATGACCAAACATAATCGAGTACATAATGTTTGTGAAGCGCTGAAAAGAAGAGTGGGCCAAGCAATCTCAAAACAGAGGCACGCCAAACCAAGTCACTAATAATGCAGAATACGCATGCTCATTTGCTTTTCATTAGGTTTTGATTCTGTCAGATCCAAGTAACTTGTGAATGGTAGTCAAGCCACATTTGCAAGGTAGACAAGTAGAGGTGTTTTAACTAGGAGTTAATTGATTCATGTTTCCTGCCATTGTACACATGACTTGTGGATCACCCGGATAAAAGTAAAAAAACACGAAAGCTGTAAAGGACAAAAAATTATACATAATCAACATAAAAATGCATTGTTTCCTTTACCGTTTCTCCTGTATTTCATCGAATGGGCATATTGTAAACCCAGCTTGTAGCCCTTGGGATTGCAGTCACGCTCCCAGTGACAGCAGCAGGAGCAAAAAGGAGCTCAGTTTGATTACAACACATCTGAGGTCAGCCCTGGCACTATAAAGTCTCAGTGGACTGGCCATCATGAGCACCAGCCATGCAGTGGGTCGACTACTGTGCTGTGAAGATGTAATTAATAATTTTACCTCTGGAAAATCTATGTGAATTGATTTATTGATCACTTTTTTAGATAAAACCTTCCAATCTGCTCAGCCTTACCGATCTCACCTTTGGTTTTACCGA